CTCAGAAAGGCCTGCAGGGTGTCCCAGCATGGAAAATAACTTCCGTGGAGTCACATTTGAACAGCTGGAGCAAACTCATGTTCCTTATTAATTCTTTCCTGGCTAATTACCTTTTAAGACTGTAGACTGGAAATCTTTGTATGGTGAATCACAGGCTTCAATTCACAAGAAATAATAAAACACAAACACAACAGAAAATATTCTGTAAAATGATACACCCCTCCCCTTTTTAGCATAAACAGAAATCAGAGGTAAGACGATCTGTGTGAGCTATGGAAACCATTAGTGCTTGCATTTTGTCTTCATTCCTGGGTAAGAAGAAATAATTTGTGAAATGGTAGAACTATCTAGTTCTCATGAGTATGAGAACAGTAGGTGTTGAAACAATAGTTATATTCCCTTACATTCTGCCCATTAGGGGAAAGCTTACCAACCCCTGGGTGACGGGCTCAACTATAACTTGAACTTTAGCTAACAAATGCAAACAATTTAACCTACTCATTTATACCTCATAATATTCTAAAATTAAAAAAATTCAGAAAGATTTCTCATTCTGGTAAAAAATAAAGCAATAGTTATACTATAATGAAGAAAATTATTACTTTTAGGGAAAAATAAAATTTGAAAGTAAGGGGTCAGTTTGGATTATTATTATGGGTTCAACTTTCTGAAAAGCTGACTCTTCCAATTTGTCTGTGGGAATAGATTCATGGTCTTAAACACCTTCGCATTAGAATTCACAATGTCTTCCACAATTTAGCCGGTATCAAACCTTGACTTTGCTCCAAAGCAAGTTGAAAGTAAATGCGCTCATAATCCCCTCCAGAATCTAAGATTTAGGTTAGAAATTAATATTAAAGCAGTGCTAGGACATATTCAAGGTTAGCGAATAATAAAGGCTGAAAGAAAGAAAGGAGGAGAAGATGCCTCAGCTGAGCCCGTGAGGAGGACCCACTCTCCGGGCGCTTGGTCACCTCACCTCTCCTTGTGCCTGTCAAGTCTTCCTTGGCAGAGGGTTGAGTTGGCCTGTCAGCCGCAGAGAAGCCCCGAGGTAAACAACTGCAGACTAACTAGAGAGTATTAGTACCTCCAGTCACGCTGTTCTACTTCCCTCCTACTTTTACCCAGTAAGATGATGACTAAAAGGAAATCTTTGATGACAGCAGGGTCGGCCTTTGGCAATCTTAGTGAACAAAATGCAGAGGGGGAAATAGAATTGTGATTCATAAAGCCCAAAAAACAAAACAAAACTGTTGGTATCATTTTTCCCCCACTGATGAACTCTACCATATATTTAAGAAAGAAGTAATACAAAATTTGCACAAATTCTTCCAGAAAATTGGAGAAGAAAGCATAGTTTCTAACTCATCCTATGATGGATAGTATTATTCTTTTTTTAAACAATTGCATCTTTTAAAATGATGTTTTTTCCTTTTCTATAAAAGAATACAGAATATTTCTACATGTATGTATGTATTTCTAGTCAACTAATCTTATGTACTTGAATTTAAATATTGTTCAGATGAAAAATAGCTAGTTATAAAAATTTCATGCTTTCAGTCTTTCTTTTTAGCTTAAGAACTTGATGTCAAGTCATCCTACCTCTAATACGGGCTGTGGTTGGTCTCCATTACAGAATCACACCTATTGATTTTTGAAAGTTAGAAAATTCACCACCCCTTGTACCCCAAAGCAGTTCCTTACAAGTTAATTGTATAGTGAAACATTTTAACCGATGTAAAGGGGGAGCCATGGCTTGTGTCCCCAGCATGCATTTAATGCTCACTTACTGATTGATTAACTTCTTATGAACAAACTTTTTAGCATTTAAAATTTCAGTAATATAGGTGAACAGTTCTGGATGTTCACAGCAGGGTCAGCTCTGAACCTAGAATTTAATATGAATTATTGAGATGGAGAATTTTTCTTTTTTGAGGAAGCTCATTCTAACTTAGGGTATAAATAATAATAATACCAATATGGTAGATATTTGGGCTAAATATGGAAAAACAAAAACTTTGCTAGGATAATTTAGGAAAAATATTTTCTTTTACTTGGATTTCTCTAAGAGTAAGGTTAGCTATGATTTCATTTTGGCTTAGAGGTCTGGCCAGTTGAGGTATTTACAGGAATTAATGTAGGACTGCCAGAGACAAGCCAGGCACAATATCAGCATTGTAGTTATTTCTACATTCCTGTCCATTTCTGAGAAGTGTTTCATGTCTTGGAAAGTCAGGAACAGTGTGTTGATCCTACAATACTTACTCAGACTGCACAGAACAAGCTGAGCTTTCCTGCTTCTCAGAACAGTTGCTCACTGCCGTTCAAGGGGAGATGGCAGTTTTAAAACTCCTGAAACAGCTGCCCTTCTCTCTGAGCTGTCCAGCCCATGTGTCCCTCTGATGGTCAGGTGCATACCGAGAATGTTATGGTCTGGTCAGTCCTTGCATTTTGAAGGTGCTCTCTTCTACGTGGTAATTTCTCAGCCACTGGTTTGGAATTGTAGGAATGGCATCAATTCTCAGTGGAGTAATTAATTCTTTTATTCACAAGGACCAGAGATTCAGAACACTTTTGAAAACATTGTTTTAGCAGGAAAATATGTTTCAAGAGCACCTGGGAATGCTAGGAATCTTTCTCCCCCATTGAGAGACCAACATTTTTATAGAAAGAGTGCTGTCCATTTGCTTCAAACACTGATCTGGCTCTCGCTGGGGCTTGGCCAGGGGACCCTCTGAACACCATCCTCACTCCAGCTGAGGTTTCAGGCATTAGGATAAGTCAGAAACCAAGGCAGGCAGACATTTCTGTTCTGTGGAGCTCCTAGTCTACTGTTTGGGTCAGGGTTAGGGTTAGGTTAGGGTTACTAGTGACATTGGACATTCCCCACGTGTACTTGTCATTCTAAGGCAATTTTTTCTGCGTAAGTGTGGTAGATGACAATGTACTCTGTGATGGGGGCATCCACAAGCTGTGTGTCTTCCAAAGAAGAGCAGAGGGAGCAGCAGAGGTCCTGTGCTCTGAGCTCTCCCACTGAGCTGGCACCATGCTGGGCAGGCCTCCACACGGGGTGTTTGTTATCTGAACTAGCTCACCAGCCCTGGTCCAGCCATGTGCTCAGAGCTCACCCTGCTCCTAGAGCAGCCCCGGATTATGGGGAGAAGACAGGCAGGCTCCAAGTCAGCCGCAGCTTCCTGTGTTCCGGTCCTGCAATGGGCACGTGCAACCACCTTCCGCCTCCCCCCACCTCCGACCCCTCCTCACCCTCGTTCACACTGCCAGGCTCGGTGTGAGGAGCCCTGGGTGCGAGGGGTCACATTTCAAGCATTGTAAAGAAATTTACAGGGAGTGACATGATGATTATTAGTGATGTGATGATCATTAGTGACGTGATGATCATTAGTGATGTGATGATCACTAACTTGTGCTCTTTTGCTGGTAACAGATTATTTTGCTAGTGTTTTCACTTCCAATACAGCCTTCATCTCCGCTTTCTCTTCCTTTGATGGTGTTCACATGGGTGTGTTTTTTTCTCAGCCACTTCGCTAGTAGCAGGCTGATCTCCGTGCTCTCCTGTGTCA